CATTAGCTATGAAATGCTCAAACATACAGGCTTACTATTTCTCCAAGCAATTACTACTCTTTTCAATAGATGTATCTCTACAAACAATATATCAAAACAATGGAAAAAAGATAGAATCTTTTCAATCTCCAAAAAACTAATCTTTAATAATAATTTTACCAACACAAGACCTATTAGCCTCCTTGAACATACTAAAAAACTATACACCAAACTGCTTACAAATTGCTTAAACAATACCTTTACAAAATTCAAAATATTTTTACTCTACAACTATATTGCCTTTCCAAACAATAGTACTGCTATTCTTATTCATATACTTAACAATATCATCGAAGATGCATATTGCAATTCCAAGAAACTTTGGTTTATATCTCAGGACATGAATAAAGCTTATGATTTAGTTAATTTAAACCTATTTGAAAAAGCTCTTAACCATATCAATATACCATCCAAACTAATTAATATACTTATTAATCTACTTACAGACTGCCAAAACAGAGTAATCACAAACTTTGGCCTTACTAATTTTTATTCAGTTAAAAATAGAATAAACCAAGGTAAAACTATTACTTCTCTCTTTTGGCAGATATATTATAACTTACTTATTTACAAAGTGCATTATAGCATAAAGGTTATACATTATCTACAACATGGCCAACTAGCCTTTCTCTACTTAAAACTCAAAGCCTCAATACATCTACTTTCATCCTAGCCTACATAGATAATACACTTTAGATATCTTAATCTAAATTAGAACTAGAAAAAATACTTCAAACTGCAGCATCCTTTTACCAAATAGCCAACATTCAAATCAACTCTTCCAAATCTATCTTTATATCAAATCAACCCCAAACTACTACTCAATTTTTTAATTCTATACTTACATCTATTTTAGCTAACCAACTTTTTAAATTTCTTGGTTGCTAGTTTACACTTAACAACAAACAAACTGCACAAATTAAACTAATTCAAGAAGAATCATTTCAACTTATAAACATTGCTAGTACCAAAAAAATTACAAATAAACAGATAATTTATATTATTAACACAGTTATTATTCCTACTCTAGAATACTGAATACACAATATAGTCCTTTCTTATTTTGTATGCAACAAAATTCTAGCCAAATATTTAACTATAGCCAAACATAAATCTCATCTAGCTTATTCTATCCCAAACAGCACTATGCTTAATCTATTCTTATATAATATATACAATATCTGGAATATTCAGCTTCAACATCATATATTGAACTTTATATTATAAATTAACAACCCTGATTTACTAGGAACTTTTACATGCATTTAACTACAACAATTACAAAATAATCTCTGGTTAACTACAAACATATTACAACACCCCCAACCTAATATTAATGGACCTAACAGATATACTTTAAACTTTAAAATTATTTAACTTTTTATATACATTAACATGTTTATAATAGCTAATAATAGTGTATCCTAATCTAATACTATACAATACAACCTTCAATTACTTGAACCAATTATGTACTCCTATTCTCAATATACTACCTTCAAAAAACAACTTAGAAAACTTAATATTTTGTATCTTGAACAACTCTGCACTGCAGATAATACTATACTACTTCAATAGAATCATCTCTTATCTCACTTAATACAGCTACTCAAAGAATATAAGCCATCTTGGTTTACATGTCTAGAAAACACTGCAACAGCTTTAGAACACTACTTTCACAATATCAACAAACTGAACACAACCCTTTTGCTTACAATTCTCAACACATCTCTAAAAAACTTAAACTCTGGCTTCTAATATACAATAATAATGATATTATTATTGGCAAAATTTATAAACATTTTAAAAATAACAACTAAATCTCTATTATGCACTAGAAAACAAATATTAATACAAAACTTTCTACTTACTATTTTCTTTCATCAATTCAATGCTTAGCTTGTACAGGTTGCTACCTCAACTTTTATAGAGTTGCAAATTGCTGTACAATTAGGGTAGTGTTATTTATCACCTGATTTTTTAGGGAGAGAGAGGAGTAAAAAAATTAAAATTTAATATAAAGAACCTGATCAGGTATATATTAAAAAAGAGAAAGAGGGGTACCTCTCTGATAAAAAAAAATCAGGTAATAAATGACACCACTCTTAATGTATCATCAATAATTTCTATTCAATTTCTTAAAAGAGTTTCTTCTAATACCCTTAACTTTAATGCAAACTATATTGATCTGATTCATTCAACTGCAATTAAACATCTATTATCTCTACCTTTTGTTTTTATTATTTATATTTCTGACTTTCCTACATTAGAAATTTTTGAGCAAAGAGAAGCCACACATATACTCAAACAATATTTTCTTACTAATATAATACAAAATACATTTAACTTCTATACTGATGCCTCTGTAATTGACATCAGTACAAACCAATATACAATGGAATTAGATGAGTACAAGTTAATAATTTTAACCAAATAATTTATAAATTCTTAGCTAAAATCTATTACTGGCCATTTTCCTACAAAGCTGAACTAATGTCAATTCTTTCAGCTATTTCAATTACCTCTTGCAACTCAATAATCAATATCTTTACTAATTCTCAGTCTATAATTACTAAATATTTAAAAATATATACCACTCTTTCAAATCTTAACAAGCTCTTCAAATTCAGCTTATGGCCTATATAGCATATTTTGGTCAATATTATTAAATCTTATAACTACCAGATTAACTTTCACAAAGTACAAGCCTATTCTGATAACATCCTTAATAATTTAGCTGACTCACTAGCAAAACAACATAATTCATCACTTATATTACACTTTAACTGTACAAGCATTTATAATCCATATTATATAATTTTTTGGAATCAACATTTTATTGAACATTCAACTAGAAGCTTCACCAAAAATATCTGCAAAGCCTACATTCTAGCAATGTAATCCTTCCAAAAACATAATACAGAATGAGAAGCCTTGGTTTCTTAAATTGATTGAAGATCAACTTGATTATTTTTTAACTATAACCAAAAACCAACTTATAATGTTACTAACTTTAAACTCAACTATCTTAAATCTTTCAAAATTAAAATCTTATTAAATGAACTTTCTATCTACTTTTATTTTTACAAAACTTACTCATACATATTTTATAATACTAACTGTTTTAACTGTAATCTTGCTGATTTTCCAACCCATTGGTGTATATGCTCAAACCCATTACTTATCTCCAATATTATCCAAACCAGCATATCTGAATACATTAATTACACAAACCTTAATTTATCTATAAACTAACAAGAAGAACTTATTTATAAAATTAGTAACCATTACACCTCTTCAAACCAATCAATACTATCTTGATATTACACTCAAAGAACTTATTCCTAAATCTCTAATTGAGATTGTACAAAACTTTAACATCTCATACAAACTAGTCCCACAAACAATTATTGCTATTCTGCTTAAAGTTAATGAACTTTCTTATGAACAAATATGAAAACTATATTGTATAAACTTTGCTAACTGAAAACAACAACAAGGACTTAAACCACCTTATGCCAGACCCTTATTTCAATCAAATCAAAATAACAAAAGAAACTTTAATCACAAAAATTATACTTATTTTTGTCTATATAGACTACCTGACCAACTACATTTTAACTCTAATACCTGTTCACCTATTGGCTATGCTATCTATAAAACCAACATCTGGACCATTCTTTGGATCAAATACAATATTTCTTATAACCACATTCTAAACTTACAAATCTAGATAAGTCTTGACCACTCTAGTAGGTTTAGGTTACAAATAAATATGTCTGAGCTTTTATTCTTAAATGTAGTTTTTCTTTTATTTGTACTTAGAGTAGCTATATAGTTAGCAGTTTAATGATTTAGTCTTGACTGCAAGTGTTGGTTTTAGCCATAGCATTTATATAGAAAATTACTTTTTGTATATAACAGCTTCACATAGCTACTAATTTTTAAACTACCAATAAAGATATGAGCAAGACCTCACCTTAATACCAAAAAAAACCAATATGAAGAATCAGGAAAACAAGAACATCTAAATAAGGATACTACCAATTAGACTGTTAAATTTCAAATTAAAAAAAAGATATTAAATTAAACTTAATATACTAGAAATAGAGCATAGTTCTTTTGAGCTATTTAGATTAAAAATTTAAAACAAAACAAAAATATATTAAGGTTCTAAAAATATATTGTAAAATAGATACTTGAATTTAGATAAATTTTATAAGAGTATAACCATATTAATAGTCTATAAAGTAGATAGGTTAGTTAGCAGTAAGTGCTCTAAACCTTACTAGCAGATAATTTTCTAATAAGAAATAATTTAAATACCTGTACAAAAAGAAAAAGTATATGCTGTTCAAATAGTATACATAAGTATATACAAATTAAAAATAATTGACAAAACAGATGATCAAAAGGTTTAAATTTATAATTTTTTAACAAATCATAAATATAGCAGCTAGTATAAAACTTAAAGTGAGGTTTAGGTTGCAGATTATATGTCTGAGTCTTTATTCTTCATATTTAATTTAAAAGCAAGCTTTTCTTTGTAAAAACTTCAATTGAATTTCAATAAAGTTAAAGGCATGGCCTCACTGTTAATATTTAAAAAAAAAAATAAAACTTAAAATGAACTACTAAAAATAAATAACAAAAGTTGCACATATAACTAGTTGTACTCATTGCTGAAAAATAATTGTAATGGCTAACCCCAATACGTATGTTAATAATATTCTGCCAAGTACAGTCTTTAACAATAAAATAATAATAATAATAATAACTTTGTGCAAAAGTTTATATATGTAATTTAGTATATTAGTTCATTTGACTCAATATTAGAAACATGTTTTATGAAGATTAAGTTCTTTTTATTACACTTAATATAATAATAAATTTTATTAAATTAAAAAAAATTTATAATACTAAATTAAATTCATTACAAACTACTTAGAATACAACGTCTATTATTTCAAAAATATATCTAATATATCTAAATTTGATAATATTAACATCAATTCAATTTTTACAAAAGATACATTAACTATATCTAAATATAATAATTGTAATATAAATTTTATTCCTATAAAAAATAACTAAATCTAATAATACTAAATCTAATTTCTTCAAAATATCAATATACAAACTATGCATTTGCAGAAAAGACATTTGATATATTCACATAAATCTACTCATATTATTAAAAATAATAAAAATACTAAAGTAGAATGCATTTTAAAATTAATGAAAACAAATATATAAAGTTCGACAAATATACTAACAAGTTATTAAATTAGAGTCTACTACATCTTTTATATGTAAGGTTCAAAATTTATTTATTAACTATAATTATAAAATAACACAGCAACGAAATCTTTCCAATTCATTCGAAATGGTTCCAGTGAATCTTAGTGTCTCAGTACACAAACATCCAGATGAAGTAATCTGAATAGAATTAGGTTGTGTTTCAAATTGAGTCAAAACAGTTCTGGTTGGAGATAGTATAATTTGAGTTTCAGACTGAGGCAAAATAGATTTTATTGACGATGTAATTCGAATAGAATTAGCTTGAGTTTTAAACAGAGACAATGTAGCTTTTTGAATAGAATTAGGTTGAGTTTCAGATTGAGATAAAATAACCTTTGTTGAAGGCTTTTTAGCTCTTGCAGATTTGGGTAGAACTGCAGATTTGGGTGGTTTTAATTTTGAATCCAGAACCATCATATTTTTGATACAATCTCATACATGCCCGTGCCCTTAGATACTATTTTAGCAATTTTCTTGATTAAATTATTGAATTTGATATAAAACTTTATAAGTTAAAAATTCTATTTACCGATCCTTCATCCACTGAAATATTCATATCAAGTTCAAATTTTGCTGCATCATATAAATTGATGGGTTTTTCCCATTAAAGTTGTCAAACGGCAAGAACATAATTTCGCGTTGCATTGTAATTGGATAGTATATTCCTAAAAGCTTTAAGTAATGATAGGATGTTGATTTGACATATTTAAACAAACTAAATAAAAAAAAAAATCAAGAAATATCTACCGAAAGTTTAGAAATTTCCCAACTAATAACAATCTTGTTCTTTATTTTGTCCAACACTAATGCCTGCACATCCGTAAAATTACGTGCTAAATATTTGAAAATTAAATATATTTAGAGTATATGATGATATATGATTCATTTTTTAAGTATGTAGTATCTTCTTTTGGGATACCTGTAGCGGTAAATATTTCTGGGGTAATTTCATCAAGAAGCTCTTCAAAACCTGGTGTCTCAAAAAATGGGTAAACAAATTCATTTAGTATAATATCACCAAAATAATCCACCAATGTTACTTGAAAAGGAATCCTCGTTTTTCTGCTACCCGCCGTCCTAATATTTATTGCAACGTAATCACTAAAAAATATATATTAAAGTTAAACTTTCAATATAAACATGCAAAATTAATGCATAAAAATGAATAAAAATAATTACTCAGGAGAATGTTTGCATTCTGGCTCAATAAGACGCACAGTAGGATGTGCAGCAGTAGGAAATGGCAAGGTATGACGTATGAAAACAGGACGTGTGGGACCAAGACATGGGACCGTTTCCTTCCATGCTTTAGGAAGACGTTTTGGCACCATTTCTTCCCAAAGATGTCGATTTAGCTTAAACAATTCCATTGTTGCTGATGCATCTTCAGCCTAATGATATACTTTATTAAATTATTATATTTAATATAAAAAATAATCTAGTTGTCGCCGGCGGCGACAGTCACCGGCGGCGACAGTCACCAGATTGCAATTGACCAACCAGATCGTGCAACGGAATCAAATCACACGCTAAAGTTAATTATCGTTAGGGTCAGGGTAGTGTTTGTTCTACATTAGAATTTCACAAGGAATTTTTTTAATTAAAACACAAAATGTGTGGCTTTATAGACGAAATTTTGAGTTATAACGAATTTTTGAAAATTTTCAATGTTTTCTTCGTTTTCAGGTTACACGAACGTTACACCTTATTCCGTGACGTGATTAGCCAATTGTAATCTGGTGACTATCACCGCCGGCGACAAATAGATCCGCCCTTAAAATTGTAAATTAAGTTTACTGGATTATGAAGAACATGTTCCTCCTGAATATCCATATCAAGTTCATTTTTCGCTAGTATTTTTAATGCATATGGATTTGCATTGTTTTCTTGTAGAAATTTTTTAGTAAGTGCAACATCGCGTATCATAGTTAAAGGATGTTTTATATCTAATGCCTAAATATTTATAATGAATTAAACATTAATTACAACTTTTATATATATTTGAATTAATAAGAATTAAGGATATTCACCAAGAAGTCATTATCTTGCCCTCTATTTCGTTCATCACTAATGCCCGCGCATCCGTAAAATTAAGTGCTGAATATTAAATATATTTAGAATATGCAATAATATAAATATCTACAATTGCAAATTTTTTTTACCATTGTTGTTAAGTAATTCGTTAAGTAATTCATTTTTCCGAGGTCCATCTCTCCAAAGCTTCTCATCCTCTTTTGGACGTACATATTTATTTAATACTACTCTTCTATTATAGTCTACTAACGCTACACGAGAAAGCACTTGATGACTTATTTTCCCTCCGGAAATGTCACATATCTCAATGAATTCACAATCTATTGCAATAAAATTTCTGATGAAATGATTTATTAAATTATTAATATACAAATAATGATAATAATAATAATAAATTATCTAGATATACTTACTTTGGGTCTTGCTCATTGCCTGATGAATGATAATTTTTTAGTTTTATCATATGTCCTAATAAATCTTATTCACTGCAATACTTTTTAATAAAGTCAAACTTACTTGCGCTGCAGGAAGGCGGTACAGTAGGGCAAGCTTGTTGAGTCTCATAAACGACCTGAATAACTGGGATGAATGGAGTGACAGAAGTGACGGAATTGACAGAAGTGACTGGCAACACTAAACTTCTAAGGAGCAAAGTAATAATTAACAAGATGTGTATTTGTTGATTCCCCATTACTATCAAGGTAATGTATCTTTTTGGAATATTTCAGAAGCAACGACTAAATATATACTTTTTGTTTGCTCTACAAAATGACCATTCTCTAATTTATGTCAATACATTTTATTTACATTATTTTTTCTTAAAGTTGAAATATTATTTGTACCGAATATATTACCGTTAAATTTATATAAATTTATTAACTTTTCCTGAAATGACTGGAAGTTTCATATTGATTCCTTTTTAAAAATACAGCATTTTGGAAATATCGATCACCTGAGTAATGCATAATAAATCCAAAATATTAAATTGTTGCATTCTAATCTATACGGGTAATCCCTAAAGTGTACACAAGACGAATCGCAGAGTGTATACCAGGAATGTAGTGAATGGTTAGATTCGAATTTACACAGATCGACCTTATCGTTATTTAAATGCCCAAAATTAGACATGATTGCAAATGTATAATGAACATAATTTGTGTTTTTGAATCATAAATTTTTATAGTATTTAACATTTAAGAGCTTAGTTTAACACCAATTTGTCCTTTACAATAGTTAGATTACTAATGATTTCATTCTTGAAAAAAGAATGCTAATTAGTAGATTCCCTTTTTTTAAAAAAAATTAAAATGATTAAAAGAATTCCGAGAAAAATAATTCTAAAGTAGTGCTCATACCAGATAGAACAAGTGCTGTTCAGGTTACTCGATGGAAACTTTTTTATCCAATACACTGAATATTTTTTACCTTATATATCGTTGGCTCTGTTACCAAAATGGAATATACATGATTTAACCAATGAAAAAGGAATTCGTAGAGATGTGCTATTTGTATGATATCCAAATATTTTCACGTATGGTCTCCACCGATTATTAAGTATAATATGTTGCTTTATGAATTTTGAAAAAAAACCAACTTATTGAATTCCATATTATTTACGTTCCTGGGTTTAGTACAACAACGCCGTGCAACAGCCTTACGTCCATCTAGAATGGTATGTATGCAAAATTGTGATTTTGATTGAATAAAAGTCAAAAATATGAATTTAATGATACAAATCACAAGAACGAAGTGAAGCGAAAACTTTGTTTTTATTAGATGTTATGACCTTAATAGTATAACGTTAAGATTGCAACACACATTTAAAGAACAAAGAAAACTGCAAATATAGGGATCAAGTATATTTAACCTGAGGTACAAAATTATAAATAGAGGATGTTGCATTTAATGAGATTGCAATTAGAGAACAAACATTGATATTAACTCTTCTTATAAGCAGTTGTTGCAAAAAAAACTAAAGTAATTTTTGTAATTTAGCATGTCAGAAACACCGTGAAGGGCGTATAAACAGCTTGCAAAAAACTTGGATCTGGTTAGCTGAAAATGTTTCTTATATTCTTTACCAGATTTATGTGACACAGCTAATTTCACTCTAATACTTTTGTTTTACATTGAATTATCATAATATGTGTACTTCTAAATGCTAATCAGTGACATATGATACGTAATTGAAAGATACATACCATAAGTGATAATGAACCTTATTTTATCAACCCTTATCATAACTTTAAGCCAACATGAACTAGACTACGCTTGATTTTACTTCAAATAAAGAAATTCATTAATATAATATTGTTATGTCGTGCTTGAAGTTTACCAAAATCATCAACGAAATATCGACTAAAATCAGGTGATTATAATAATTAACTAAATGAAAAGATACAATTAGAAAGAGCTCAAAAAAATATAATTTTGAGATAATTAAGTTTATTGTGTTTGGACTTATACAGAAATTTAGTGTGGGTAATCTTATGATTACGAATGTTTAAATGCGAATCGATTTCTGCGCCTTATATTAAAAATTTTATTTTTAATTTCCAGGGGTATTTTTACTGCAAATAAATATTTTTCTTAATTAGGGTTTATTATAAAAATTCTTAAATTGATTGTCTTCGACTAATAAGTTTAACTAGTTTTGGAAATACGCAGGTTATAGTTTAGATAATGGTCTTAAAAATATGGATTTCACAAAAGTTGAACACAAATTTTAATAACCAAACTTAGTTTTAATTTTTAGTTGTCGAAGTGTTTATTCCATACTTTTGAAAAATGTTTCACTTTTTCTAAATTTCTATATTTGCTATACAAAAAATTTTCGGAAAATATGGTGTAAATTT